GTAGTAGTAGTAGTAGTAGTAACCGTGAGAATAACAATAATGGAATAGGGTGTTCTGCATGGCTTTGCTCATTGCCCAAGCGGCGGTAAAGACTCAGCGGTCCGGCTGCTGCCAGGTGCTTGATTTTGCTGTCCAGGGCCACCTCCCCGAGCTTCACCACCGTCTCGCGGTCGCCTTGGCTCTGTAGGGTTTGAGGTTTGGGATGTATTGGGCTTCGGGCTGAAGCTTAGGGCTTGGGGTCTAGGGTTTTGGGGGAAAAGGGCTTATTTGGGGTTTAGGGTTTGGCATATCCTGAACCTGGCACCTGGCAGGTTTGCTGGCGTAATTTCCAGTTGACACTGAGTCGCTCTCTACGGTGAAGTTGCCCTCGCGAACCAGGTGCTGCTGCCAGTTCAGAGGGAACATGAACTCCGCTTCCCGTGGTGAGTAGACCACGATCACGCTGGAGTCCGCTTTGTTGGAGAGCAGGTGACACCACCATTCGGCCCTACACCAACCTAATGGTCAAAATAGCTCTCGCGACCCTATGGAGCTATTGACAAGACGGACTCGCAGTAAAATCAAAGTTTTGAGGGACCCTCACCTCGCGACAGCCACGATGTGTAGTTGCAGAGCACCTTGGATGCCAAAGAGTCTACACTTGGTTGCTTGCTTGCTTTCTGTCACCCGACAAAGCATGTGCTTGCAGAGCACTTTGGTGTCCGTGTGCAGGAGCTCCGGCACCAGAGCCACGAAAAGGTTACAAAGCTCCACATAGGATGGTATACCTGGACACCGCAAAAGACACCAAAGAACTTACAGCTCCGAGCTGCCAGAGGAGGGAAAAAAGCGACGGAGAGGTCGACTCTTGGGGTCCCAGGTACTTTTCACGGCCAAAGCAGCATCTGTCCTTGTCACGTCCTCATTCACACCTGCCTGCCTAGCCGTAATCTGCGGGATCGCAAACCAATCCAGGAACAAGTACCCACTTGCAATCTGCTTTCGTGTCTGCGGCGACATTTCTTTGCCCATTGGCATGGATATCAAGTCTTCCTCGACGTGCAAGGACCCGCTGATCATACCATGCAGCGTGTGTCGCAGGATTGCAGCTTGCTGTCCGTGCGGGTCCGGATGTGTGGCTCCCAACCACTGATGGCTTACAAACAGAACAAACATGCCGGGACTCCACTGATGCAGTAGCCCCCCGGACAGAAGGACACTGTGAGGCTCGGGCACACCTTCCATTTCCAAGAAGTCGGACACCTCGAAGGGCAGGGTTTGGCGCGGGACCGTGTAAGTAGACACGTAAGACATCTAGTAAGGATACAAGAGTGCAAGCCCACAGCTAAGACCCAGTAATGGGAACAGCCGGACATCCCAAAGTCCAAAGCCTTCACAACGTACATTGGGAAGAAGCTCTCGTGCACAGGTGGGAAGTCCACCACATCAGCTCGTGACGCACACAAGCCATTCCCCATCTTCAAAACAGGAGCCTCTCACCGTGAGCAGCGCCGTGGGGTCTCATGCTTGCAGCTGCAAAAGTCGGCGGCGGCGAGAGTGGGTCCAAGGGGTTAAATCAAAAGGGGTTTTAAGAACGAAAGGTCTGCAAGACCGCATCGGAACTCTATCAACGTGGCACCGTGCTGTGAAATAACCTGCCATGGACAGGCTGCGCAAGCAGAAGCCCGATGCTCCCACCTTGAGCCATGGAGGAAGAATCCACCCAGACCTGAGCTGAAAGCAGGCACGACTCCCACACACATCATCGTTGCCTTGGAAACTTCCAGACTGTGTTTGATGCTCGTAAAACAGGACATGCCGTCCAGAGACTCACCAAGCCCTGTCAGTTCTGAACTTTCGATCTCGGTCGCTTCAGGAAGCGTACGGCTACTTCGAGTTGGAAGGCGGTGAACGGCTGTTTTTCTGCAACTGGCACGTCTGACGTGGACGCAGCTCGCAAACAGCAGGGGCGTCGTAAGGTAATGGAAACGGTCCCACGGTCACAACCTCTCAGGTGCAGCTGCCAGATTTCTTGCAAATCTTACACTTCCCTGAAGCGCGATGGGTCCTGGGTCTCGCTACATTGTTTCTCCACTTCTCCTTCACCTTCTCCTCGTGATCCTAAACTGCGCCCGTCCTCCGCAACCTCGTGCACGATATGCTCGGTGCGCTTGTTGGCAACGTCAGCAAAAAAGAAAAGGGCAAGCCCCAGAAGTGGCAGCAGCCGAGTGCCGGCAGAGGATTCGGCGAGACGCCTCATGGACCGCACCACCAAGGCCTGGCCTATCTGCAGCGACACGAGGCAGGAGACCATGCTCGAGTACCAGAAGAAGGCGGGGAGACGCTTCAGGTTCTGGATCAATTGGCAAAACCACTCTGCCCGATTCTCCAAATCACCCGTGTGGTGGCTGCCATCACGCAGTCTCTCACGCTCACGGGCAGCGTTCAAACGCTCGGTAATCGTCCCCCAGTAGGCATACATTATTGCCCAGCCGGAGCCTGCAGCATACAGGAAAAGGCCCCTGGACAGGAAGCTCTGCTGCTTTAGCAGCTCTTTCAAGGCTGTGTCGACTATGCGGTTCAGAACCCGCACAGCCTTTAAGCCTACGAAGGCCACGGCAATGACTGAGGCTCGCGAAATGCCCTGCAACTCACCCTGCATGTGAGAGAGGCCAGCGAAGAGACCCGCCCAGTCCGTGAGGCACTCTTCCAAGGGACGCAGATGAGTAAATTCGACTTGACGAAGCTTCCAAGTGGATTCGGCCACCGCTTGCCGAAGGCTCTGAACCCTTTGCACTGTGTCCTCCCATTTTCTCATCAGGAAGAGCGCCATGATGACACAACACAGGCAAAGAGTATCTAAAGTTCTAAAGTGCTTTCCTTGTCCATGAAATGCTCGCCAGCAGTAGCTCTGTTTTTACCCTATCCCCAGTGCCCGGCTCCGTAGGCACCAGTAGTTGCAGTGACCGGTTCCGTGGTTGGTGCGCGCTAAAGGTCAGCTTCATGCTATCATCACGCGCTTTAAGCGGCAATCTCAGGCTTAAGCCTTCAGGAACATGAGCAATATAAATCCACTACCTGTCCGGCATTCAACCTTGCGTAAGTTTCCGGCGGGCTCACTGTACGGGTCGCCATTCACGGTGGGTGGCCGTGCGATGGTCTGGTCCACCGGCGAAGGCGGTGGGGCATTGCTGTAATCCAACTCCACCTGCCATGACATGGCCAACAATCACCGCATGCCAGGCTGAGACAAAAACTCAGGCCCATGCTGTGTGGACTTCCGTCTTTGGATCTTCTGACCTGGCACAGAGTCACTTCGTCTGATTGGGAACTCTGATTCTGCATCCTTCAAGCCAGAACCCACATCTCAAAACAAGTTGCCCGCTGAAACGACTGGGTCCTTTTCTACTTTCGCAGGGGCAACAGAGTACCAATCCCACTCCCGGTCGCCTCAGAAGAAAAGGGTCGTCGCCCTTTTTTCTCCTCAGACTGGCATCCAGCTGAGCAGCATGGAGAAGGCCGAACCTGCAGAAGACTTCGCGAGCAGAAATTGCTGTAGAACTGATGCCCAAAGCTCAAGGGACCACCTGCACAACTCGTGCAGGCTCAACACAACTTGAGGACGGGGCAAGGGCAGCAGTGCGAAGAGGGTCCTGCGACGGGGCCATGAATATGGGCTCGCTAGGAAAACCTTCCGATCGCTCCAACTAGCTGCTTCGGACAATGGCAGACCCTTCATTTTCCGGATCCTTCTGTTGCTCATCACGGGCACAAACTCACCTCAACTGTGCCGAGATCTGGTTCGCACCGCCCAACAAGATCGGACGAAGGGCCTCTGGGCATCCTGAGCTTGGGCCCAGACTCGAACCTCCTCGGAAACGATACGGTACCGGAGCACTGAGCCAAAAGCAGGCGGGACTTCTTGACTCACGTGCTCGTTCGATGTAATGATCCCAATCTTATGGCGGACTGAAGCGGAGACATTCCCCATTGTATTTGGATACTGCTGACCGCCATCTTTGTCCCCTGCGTTTCACGAAATGAGTCAGTTCGGCGTGGTGTTATCAGGTCGCGATGCCCAAGGCCTTCCAGACCTAGGGTGCGCGACCGCAGAAACGCTGGAGACTGAAACAGCAAGTCCGAAGCAATTGCAAGACACAGTGCTCGTGCAATACTTCACAACACACATAACTTGACCAACTGGATGGCGCCGCGTCGCATGCTCAGGGATCAAATTCCTTAACTCAAGGGTGAGAACGGGACATTACGAGCCGGTGATGACCATCCGGACCGGACGGAGCCTGATCTGCAGCGCCAAAGCACGAAAACCTCATCTCTGCCAAGACACCGCGCATGAGCTCGCAGCTGCAGCTCGATTTGAGACTGCGCTCCTGCGTGCAGCAGCTCGTTGTCGGAGTCCTGCTGGCAGGGCATCTGCCACGAGCAGGGGAGCGAAGGCCTTGGGCCGGAAATCTCTGTGTCCTCGATGATGCGGCCCGCTGTTCGGCTCAGAGGCTTCAAGACCTACAGCGGTGCTCTCAGCTTCGGCCATGAAGCTGAACGATTGGAGAAGCATGGTCCCGCAGTCCCACAGCCTCCCAAGACTGGAACTGCTGCATCACCCAAAAGCTCGACAACCTCCAAGATGGGTGTTTCTGCAAGGCGGTGTGATGCAGGACTCTTATGGTGAAGAGAAGCAGAGCTGCAGGGGGCACTCTAACGCCGCATGTGTTGTTTGACACAAGTGCTGCGGTCGCGAGATCCATGCCAACATCTGGCAGTTTGGGCAGCACAAGATTCCTGACGAAGGGCGGGATTGGATTCGAGAAGTCGCCACTCTGAGGGACATTGAAGTGGAAGTCTTCATCCGACGCAAAGCATACCTCAAAGCACATCAACGCACGTCTCCGACTTCGCGACCTGACTTTTTAAGGGCAGGCGCCAGATTCGCGGCCATGTCCGGCTCCTCCTCGAGGCCCTGATCCCGATAGCATCGTGCAACCTGGAACACCTGAGTTGAGGAGTTGAGGGGTCAGTGTGAAGGCTTAGGCTTCGCGGTTTAGGCGTTGAGAGCACCGTGTCGCACCCCCCTGCAGAATCAAAAGGCGGGCCGGGCGGCTGCACGGAGAGTGGTCGCAACATCAAAGCTCAGTTGGCTGCTAGGGCCGCGGTGGAAACCTTGTCTGCAAATCCAAGAGCTGCTGCATGCTGAAGATGGGGGATGCCCCGGACTTGGGCCGGAACCAACAAAATTCAGCACCAAGATCCCACCAGGGCTCAACCAATGCTCTTTGAGTCCTCACTAGTCACGTCTCATCAAGGCGATCCCGGAGGCAGACAATGCATGCTCCTTTGCAGATCCCAGATTCGAGCGAAGACTTCCAGTGAGTGCATGTGCCCAGGGTTCGAGCCATTAAACCTGATTCATTGCAGCTAGTTCGCAGCACTCACATAGGAGCTCGGCTCAAGAAACTTCTGAGTCCAGGCGCACATCGCTGATCACGAAGTCGTAGCCTCGGATCCGAGATTTCACCCTTTTGCCCACGGATGCCAATGCGACGCCAAAAAAAAAGGATGGGGGATGCCCCCTTCATCTGGGCGTGCTGGGCAAAGGCCGAGGCTCGTCGAGGGGTTTCCTGGAGGAAGAGGAAGCTCCGGGCCTCCGAAAGCTTGGAGCTGCCCTGGCCTCGGCTTTTTGGCTCCCAAGGAGCCGTTGCCTTTGGGGCCTTCGCACGGGCTTTGGGATGGTTTTGGGGCATTAAGACCTCGAGGTTTCGAGTCTATAGAGTCATGGAGCTTGAGGCTTTCGGGTCTCATGGTGAAATCTGGCCAGCCCAGGTGCGGCTTCGGCAGGCGGCGGCCGAGGGCCCCAGAGGATCGCAAGCCTTTCCCGCACACGACCGACCAGAGAATGCCAAGAGCTTTTGAAACCGTGTGCGACAGAGCCGAACTAAAAGGGCAAGAAACGCCCGGAGCAGCTTGGCAGCAGGAGTTGAATTCAAAGTGCCTTTCCTTGTCTGCATCAGATCCGATGCCAGCTCGGCTGAAGTTGAGGTGTTTGAAGGTTCTAAACCACGCAAGAGTATTCGTTACACCCCACTCTCTCCAGACGTCCCCTACTGCCAAACTCACCTCGAACCCAAGCCAGGTTCTACTTCTTATCTGATTGCACCATTGCACCTCAACATCAGGAACTCTGCCGAGCCACTGCCAAGTAGAGGACAGCATCAGAAAGCTCCACCACATCAACCTGACGTCAAGACTAAGCCGCCCATCACATGCAGCCAAAAGACTACCTGACTACATACTCACACTCAAAAGCAGGCTAGCCTGTATTCGGTGGGCACGCAAGTAGCTGGCCACGACACCGGCACCCAAGCCAAGCTGCAAGGCATGCCTGCGGGGCATGGCATTCTGACAGCATGGAGACCGACAGTATGAGGGCGGAATAATTAAATTAGAAAGAATATCCTTCCATAGCCCTCAGAATTATTAGTATAGCAGTATAGACCCTAACCCTGTACCGCTTGCACGAAGCCTCAGCGAGCGGTTGACGAAGAGGACGCTCTCCTTGGTCGAGGGCACAGCTCCAGTGTCGTGCCTGTCACCTGCATGTTGCGCAAAGTTCGATGGATGCGACCCAGACACCTGCACTGCAAAACCAGTAAAAGCAGCTTGGTCCTTGTACTCGGCTTGAACGTACTGTGCACCAATGATGCTCGAACCGAAGGTCAGGAAGTTCACGCCCAACTCCTTCGGGCAAAGATCCGCGCAAGATGACATCTCATCCCATAAGTCACTCCCATGCACAACAGCCCACGGGCTCCCGATTGGAGACTGTAGCGACGAGGTGTCCGTGGGCATCCCTGGCTGTCTCGAGCACCTCTTGTCAAAAAGTGTGGGTCAGCAGCTTGGAAATATGCTGGAATCGCTGGCCACCCGCCTTCACCACGTCATCGTCGCCGGCTCTTTGGCTCCTCCCACTTCGCACAAGCTTAGATGTTTAGAAGCAGGTGGACACTTGTGGCATGTTTGACAGCTGATAACCCAACAAGAGCCTGGCATGGCTTTGTCCATCCAAGCCCAACGACGTCCACATCATCCAACATACTGCCAGTCCCAGTACCTTGGCCACTTTGTAAATCGCAATCCCCTCTCATGTCAATCTGGCGATTGACCTATAATGCCAAATGTCCCCAGTTAAAAAGTTATACAGTGTGAGCAAGACTCCTTAACTTGTTTCAATGTCCATTGCAAGCAGGACCCGGCTGATCAATCTTGCACGACCCTCCAAAGTCAGCACAAAACTTTGGCAACCATGCATCAACCCTGCATTGCATCTACCCTGCACAGCATGAAATTTGGTGCGGGAATGGTTTGAACCAATATGAGCTCAAAGCCCGAGGCACCAATGAAGAAGCCAGTCCCTTCCAAAAAGCCACTGGCCACCATCCACTCGCGTCTGCGCGCTTGGAACGCTCGCCAACCTAGCAGCACTGACTACTTGCACGAAGGTCTTCATGCAATGCTGGCTTCGGCTTCAAAAGTTGTCTTTACAGTACCATATATGCCCTAGGCTGCTGCCGTAGTGCACGCCGTATGGGTGCACGCATGTGTAGCAAAGTCTGCATGCTTCCAGGCATGTCCACAAATTAGTCAGTGCTTCTTTCATGGCATTCTCTGCACAAGCTGTTCTTTATTACCGCAAACGTACTATGTTTTACATGCTTTCGATCTTCTGGTAGTCTTTGTAGACTACGTCTCGGTCAAAGACATGCAACCGCAAGCTGGCCACGCTTGCAACCGCTAATGCAGCCCAGAAAACCGAGGAGTCCACGGAAAGAGTCGTTTGTTTGACTTTGTGGCGCACGTGGCGCTCGCGCGGTCTCTGCATTGCCGAGACAGGTTGGCCATGGCTGTCACCAATTGAACTTTCGACTTGAATGCACAAGACGCATGGACCACGAAACACCACTACAGCCTGGTACTGCCACTGCATTTCAACAATGTGGAGAGAACTGCAAGTGTTGAAAGGTGTGCTGTTGCGCTGCTTTGAGCGCAAACTTGGCTCAAAGTTTGCCAGTTGGCGAATCAGTCCAACGATAAGATCTGGTCAATCGAACAATCAATGTTTCCGGTGCCTAAATTACATCGAAACTGCTGCATTGGCTCCGCTAACAACTGTGTGTCTGCTGTGAACAAAACCACCGTCCGTCAATGATTCGAACCAAGTTTTTCGAGTCTAAACGGGAATCATCCCAGCAATGGCTTCTCCTGGTTAAACAATCGCAACATTAACATTATGAGAATCTCCTTCCGGCGGGAGCTTACAGATTGAAGGCCGTTGTTGTGATTGAAGTGAAGAATTTATTTTGTCATTTAATCATCATTTTTTCATCTTCTTGATTTCCTCCATCATCATTTTTTCATCATTTTTTTGCATATGGGGAACACATTCGTTTTTAATTATGATTTGTTGGAGGTTCCTGAATTCCAATGTGCTTTTCTGTTTATCGAACTATTGCGTATTCAGGGTGTGCAGTGTAGACTACCGATTTTTTCTTGCTTTGACCCAGAGAGCCAAACATGTTTTGTTTTGGAACGTATCCTTCTTCCTGCTGGGGCTACCGGGGGGGCCCCCAATACTCGGGCACCGATTCCATAAGGCTTTTCGGCACCAAAAGAGACCCCTGAACACGCTTTTTTTTGCACACATGAGGATCACGGAGAACTTGATTGAAAATTGGGGTCTGC